TCTTTCTTTCTTTCTTTCTCTCTCTCGCGGACATGGTAGGAACGAGCTGAGATTTGATGCTGCTGTGCCTGACTGACCCCAAACTTCCGTTCTGCTCTGGCCACTACATAGCCGAAGCGGAAGCGAAGTACAAGTGCCATGGAAGAAATTGTTTGAAGCCCACCGCCACGAACTGTTGAGGGGCCTCTCCTCCCTTTATGCGTTTACATATACCGACACGCACACACCTGCACGAAGGCGCACGGCCCAGGAATTCCCAAACCCTTAGCCCAAAGTCTCTAATTTTCCGGCTACCACGCCTGCCTCACCCGTGAGGGTTTTGGTTCAGCTTTTGTGGTTTACAGGGTTTCTATGCGGTTGTAGGAAGGTTTAGCAAGAGGTTACATGTACTTGTTAGCAGGGGCTGATCTAGGGGTTTTCAAGAGGGTTTCTGAAGGGTGCCACCTCCATCGGAGGCGATCTTGCCTGTGCATCTAAGGCTGGGCATCGAGGTTGGAAACCTTTTCCAGCAGAAGCCACAGCAGGCTGGTTGCACCTTACCCGGAACTGAAGCACCTTGTTTCAGTCTTTGATATCTATGTCTCGGGCGAGGGCGCGCGCAAAATAAGTCTGCTGTGGTTGCGGCCTGGCTCCTGTGAGGACATCCAGCTCTTTCTTGCCGGCAAGTCCCTGAAGTATTGTGACCGCCCAAGAGATTTGGCCACCTGGTGGTGTCCACGTGAAAACCTGTGCCCATGTCACCGAGGCAAGCTGAAGACGACCAGCTGCCAAACAGGTCGGGTCAACAGACTTGGCCTTGCTGACTTTCACATGCACTTCATCAGAGAGAAGTTTGAATATGATTTCTGGCTTTTCAACATTTCCGCATATTCAGCATGCTCGGAGAATAGGAGCAGGAGGAGGCGCAGGGAAGCTTCAACGTTGCGAGGCGATGATGATGTGGAAGTGGGAGTCAACACGGATGAGGTTTGGACGGACGACAAGGAGCGCCGGACGTGCGAATTTCTTACATGGCCCAGGGGTTCCATGCACAAAACGGTTTGCCACGATACAGATTTATGAGCCTTGCAATCAGTCCGGCCGTGCAAGGAGATGCAGTTCCCAACCTTGACAAGCGGCCAAACAGCCAAGCTCATGGCTCAGAATAGAACGCAGATGTGTAGAAAGTGGGGAATCTGAACCTTTGCTACAGCTACTGGTATCGTTTTGGACTTAGTGCAGGCAACAGATGGCAACAGTAAAGTCATATCGTAGATACGCTTCTAGGCTCCGCTTTGAGGTCAACTGGGGCAGAGGCACAACTTCTTCCTTTCCTCAGGCGATCGGTTGGAATCTCGAAGATGGAATCGTCGTTTCCGATCTAAAAAGCATCGACAGCGTAGTGTTATCCGCCTTGGATTTGCCAGGCGAGTGCTACCCCTTTTCGAAGCATCCATCGTGGAGGGCAACCGCGGAGCCCCTAGCTAGATCCCCTTCCTCGAGTGCTATTTGTTAACACATCTCCAGCTACAGGCCGTGCTGGTGTTGTTGCGCCACCGCCCGCGGATGAGCAGTTGGGCCAGACTCTGGTCCGGGCGCCCGGAGCATCGAGAATCCCTGCGGCCTGCTACGTCTGCTCTCAGGTGCGGTGCTCGCTCCCGGAAAGTTTCGTTTCCACGTTCATAGGTGAGGGCTCCATTTGCAGCAAGCTACAGGGCCAATTCACATCTGCCCAGCAACGATGCAGGTGCTTGGCCCTCGGTCGTAGATGTGTCCATCGTGGAGAAGTGGTCCACTGGCTCCAGGGAGGAGCTGACATCTGAGATGCTGCGGCATGTGATGGCTCCAGGTACGGGGCGGACCACGCATTGGCACTTTATGGCTGGGAAGAGGCACCTTGTTTTCCCAACTCCACTTCGGCCACGATCCGGAGCCAGAAATCTTTGGAAGTGTGTGCCTGTGTCAGGTCGTTCGGCCTCCACCCAGCGAGATTCTCGGGTTAGCCAACTTCATGAGGCCCATCCGGAGCCTGGTCCGGGCCGAAGATGCGGATCTCACATGTGCCAACGGGTTGTTATCGGTTCTTGCATCTCTCCTTGCTGTCGAGGTGGGTCTTCATCCGATTGTGCTAGGCGGCTCTGGAGGTGTGCCACCTCAGCTTAATCCGTTGCTTGGACCTTCTCGCAGCAGACGATCTTGCAGGTGCTTCTACCCGCCCTGCACGGTGTCTGTATTCTTTCTGTCGCTCAGCGGCATTGCTGCACTTCTCCATCCGATGCAGTTGACCTATGCATTCTGACATTGCCGATGACAGGTCGCTTGAGCTCCCTGACGGTCGTGAACGGGAGGTCATTGAGCTAAGATGCGATGCTTTGCAAGCTCAAGGTCTCGATACACCGAGGTCTCACCTGATAGTGGCAGGCTCGGAGACAGGTTCTCTCCTGGTCTTGACCTCATGCACGTTGAGTTTCTGCTGCATTGACAGAGCTGATCCGGTGTACTGCAGCTCACTCCGCTTTTCAGGTCTACGATCTCCGGGCGAAAGCGAGAAGTCCGGCAGACTTGCAGGGGGAAAGTGAAGGCGGATTGTCTTGGACACAGCTCCAGAATCCTCCGCTCAGTCGTGCAGGCCCACCTCCGAATCCTGATGGTGACATCGCTCACTTCGAGGCAGTTCTGTGTGGCCGGGTACCGGGCTGGTCAACAGCTCTCACGCTTGCAGGGTCCAGTCTGGCTCCCGTCGGCATTCTCGACGGACGTCTACGTCAATCTGGCGGACTTGAATCCTTTGCCGTGGTTCTTTCACTTGCCTGTGGCACTTCAGGAGCTTTCTCTTTTCAACAGAACTGCCATGCCAGGCATTGGGGCCAACTCAGCGGGAGTGCGGGGCTAAAGAAGCCAGGCGGAGGCTACTTTGAACAGGCAGCCAGTCAGTCATGACAGCCTCTGACACGTCCACCCAGCAGGGCCTCAGGGAGTCTTCTCTTCCGCTCCTTTCGGAGCTTGGCATCGCGGCATGTGGCGTTGTGAGGTCTGACTTTGGCGAGCAAAATGGCATCCTGCCGGTGCCTTGAGCCTTGCGAGGCGCTTTGCCCAGGACCAAAGTTTCGCACCAAGGTCCGAGCCTTTTGGCTTTGACGGAGCCCCTGCCCCAGAATGCCAGGGGTGCCTGTGTCTACGTGTAGGTCCAAGGTCGGAAGCTTTGAAGCCAAAGCTCCCCTCTCCTTCTGCCCAAGGATTCCTCCGGAGTGCACGAGGCAGAGGTGGCTCCTGGGCAATCGACCTGCTAGGGAAATCGGCCGAGAAGGGCATTGCACCCTCACCTGTCCTGGTCGTCGCGCCAGATTTGCTGCGTGCGCAGCTCGGACATGGCTGCCGGAGATGCGCTCGTCTTTGCCGGGTGCCTCGGTGTTTCGTGCCAGTATGATTCTGCACGGCACGCGGTGGCACCCACTGATCTTTCAAGCCGTTTCAGATCCGTCTAGCCGCAACGGCTTCTCCACTTCTGAAGAGGGTGGAGGGCCATCATTGGACGACGTGCTGCCATGGACGTGGGCACGAAAGTGTCACGAATCCCAAGGCAGGGCACGATATGTAAGGCGGAGCGTGCTACGATGCAAACTGCCAAAACCCTGGCACAAGGAAAAGGGAGCGGCCAAAGAAGCAAAGGGAGCTGTCCTGGCACTTGCTTCACGACAGAAGATTGGAGATGTCAATCGAGCGCTTCGTGTAGCGCGGCATCAGATTTTTGGATATCCTCTTCTGTGAAAGGGTTCCGCGGTTTTGTGCAGCGCAGCGCAGGCATGTAAGCTGCGATCGGCCTGGGAGGCCGCCTCCCTGCAACTTGGAGCAGATTACCGTGTAAGTCTAGGTAGGAGGCCGCCACCGGATACTTGGACTTTGTGAGTCTGTTGACACCCAGGCTTCTGACAACGTCTGGTCAGAAGAGTCTTCAGGCAGATGTTGTCTCGTGCCTGGGATCGAACATTGACAAAAGCTGTGAAAAGCCATGAAATTTTCCATGCGACTGTGCGACATAGGTACACAACGTTGGTGGGTGCGAGTATGAGCAAAACATGGGAATGGGCAATCGGCATCTTTGCAGATGTGCTGCTTGGAAAAACTCAGAGGGGAAGATGCCGTTCCATGCTTGATGCCTTATTTCACTTGGAGGCTTTGGGTAAGTGAGTGTGAGTCAGTGTGAGATGTACCGAGGGCTCGCAAGGACCTGATCTTGGACAAGGCAGGGGCATGTAGGGGCTTGATCTTGCACTTTTGCTGGGTCTGCAGCCAAGGTGGCTGAACTCACACTTTTCACTGGCTTCGCCGCCTTGGGCAAGTGGGTAGCCGCGCTTTCCTCGTTTGCAGACTTGCAGGCTTGTTGCTGAAAGAGGGCCACGTCATTGAGACGCATGCAAGAGGCTTGTCTCCAGCAGGTTCAGCAGATAGAAGTGGACCAGCAAATGGCCAGCTCTGCAATGACTTCCTGTGCCGGACGTGACACATGGGCCTCAGCGATTGTACAGCCCCAAGATGTACTGGTCAACAAGACTACACATTGTCCCTGTTCTCGGAATGCTGTGCTGATGACTAGACTAGAATTACCAGGCTTTGAGTTGCGAGCTTCAGATGGTGTCCGTAGAGATTGACACAGCTCCTTGGTGGCAAGTACTAAGGAATAAAGCAGGTGCGGCTCGATTAAAGCAGCAAGGGGAGTACAGCCGTTGCAGGCTAGGACGAGCTTGCAGGTTCAGCTTCGACAAAGCGGTGTTTGCCAAAATGCCCAGGCTGTCGTCAATGCCGCAATGAGTGCAATGAGCGGTGCCGGTGGCTGGGTGTTGGCGCTGGCGGCACTGGAGGACATCGCTCGTTCTTGGAGGCTGAAAATCAGCATCTCAAGTTTGACTCGACTGCTAGACAGGATGTTGCCGCGCGCCAATCGATTGATGTGATATCGATAAATGCTGCTCTCAGCGCCACTGGCTTGAGCGACAGAGGAGTGTTGCCAGCTTCTGTGATCCAACGACGTTCTATTCGTTAAGCCTCATTGACCTTGCCAGGTGCCTGCGAGCGATCTGCGCAGTGGCAGCCTGCCATGTCCCTCTTGGAAGGATGCTTGCCGTCGGTACCAGACATCATATCTTACGGTGCAGCCGTAAGTGCCTGCGAGAAGGAAGGTCGGTGGGAAGAGGCCGTGTACCTTCTTTCTCGGCTGCCACAGGTCAGGATTGCCGGTGATGTATCTTTCTACAACGCCGTTATTAGTGCGTCCGAGAAAGGCAGTCGTTGGCAGATGGCTCTTCAACCGCTGCCCATGATCTCAGTCCTTCGGCTGGAAGCTGATGTGGTCAGCTACAGCAGTGCTATCAGTGCTTGCCAGAAGCGCGACGAATGGCGAGTGGCGCTGTTGCTGCTATCGGACATGGAGATGATCCATGTCAAGGTCGACACGATCGCTTGCAATGCGGCAATCTCGGCATGCAGCTGGCTGAAAGCACTCGGGCTCCTGAACACCATGCAGTTCTGCGCTATGCGAAGCACAATTATCACCTTCGGTTCAATCATAAGCTGTTTTGAGAACATTGGAAGATGGCAGCTGGCTCTTCAAATGCTACGTATTGGCAAGATGCAGACCCTGCGCTTGCAAGATATCACCTGCAATGCCGCCATCGGGGCATGCGAGAAGGGAGTCCGAAAGGCCAGCCAGCACGAGTCGAAAAAGGATGCTTACTGACCGCCCCGCTCGCAGGGAGGTTCTCTGAAAGAGTGTCGCACATGTGGAATCCGAGGCCTTGGACATCACCGGGACAGTCAGCTTTTGGCGGGTGCTAGAACTGGCTTCGGTTGGTCCTGACCCTGGCCTACCTGGAACTTGCGTGCAGCTGCGTGCAGTTCCTGTGTGCCTCAGAGCTGAGGTGTGAAGCTTGCCTTGCAAGGCAGCCTCGCCCTTGCGCGAGGCCTCGCAAGTTTCGGTTCTGCGGAGCTAAAGGGACGGGAGTCGCGATTGACCTCCGGCAGATTCGTTCCCACAGCTTTGCATGCTTTACTTCCAAGACGGAATTGTGCTTGCATCGCATGTTTGCTTGTGCTTCCTACTTGTTGCTCTGCCGACTTATCATCTACGGCCGCAGTTAGGATTTGCTTTGCGACTGTGTGGCAGGCCCGCACTCTCACGTGCTTGCCGACTTCCTCGGTGCCTCTTATCTTTGCATCCATCCACAGCAACAGGCCGGGCTTTCGCTGACCGGATGCCGGACGCCTTGCTCAAGCTGCTTTGCCTCAGCTCCCAGGGAGAGTTCGTAGCGCTGTCCACAGCTGGAATCCGGCAAGCCAACAGTCTGGCCAGCATGTTTGTCACGCCTTCTTTGGGAGCCCTGGCCCCCACCGTGGCCAGGGCAACGCTCTCTGACCTCGAACGTGGCGGATGGCCCCAGGAGCGAGAGATGCCAGAAGCGGTGTTTCTCACATCTTCTCACTCTCAAGCGGTGCTTCTTACGAAGGAACTTGGAGCTGCTGAGACACGCCGAGGAGGCGTGCTGGCCAAGGTGCACCCGGTGGTGCCTCATGAGAGCTGTGAATGCCAGGAAGAAGGTCTCCTCCTTCCGAGTGACTCCTTTGCATCCCAGCCTTGTAGTGGAGGGCTTACTTACTGCCTGCTGCTGCTGCTGCTGCAGTTGTGGCTTCCCAGCACCACCTCAAGCATGTTGAGGTGGTGCCTTCAATCCCTTTTTCCCTGGGCTGCTGTTAGTGGCATTCGCCGAAGGCGCGGATTGCACGTTCGGACTCTTTGCACGTTTCGCACACGGGCCTTCGAGTGGGCATGTCAATGTGTGTTTGCTTGTTCGTTTGCTGCTTTGTTCGTTTGTGCGTTCGTGTGTCCATACTGTATTCAATTGCACGATGTTGTACTATGTTATGCTTCTTGGCAACTCACAATCATAGTCGGTGGAAGCACACAGTTGCAGTGATGGTTTCTTCGCCTGCTGAAGCCGCGGCAAGGCGATCTTGCCCTCTTTGACTGCTCCCTATGTGTGCCCGTGACGCACTGGGCAAGTGCCGTTGGCAAGGCAGGCCACGAAGAAGTCCAGTACTCTTTATCGTAGTGCTTCGTCGCCTGGACTCACATGAGCCCTGGGTAGGCCACCGGCGCAACAATCTCAGTTGCGTGGTCTACCCGGAGGCATGGGTTGTTGGAGCAGCTGAAATTCAGCAATGTTTGTCAACCTGTTTCGGGGAAGGCCATGTGTCTTCTTCGTGAAGTGTGGTGACATGCTGGATGCCTGACACTCATACCCGGTACTGCGGTGCACTGGGGACGCATGCTTTGTGAGCTGTGGGTTAGACCGGATTTTCTGTTTGCGTGCATAATCTTGCACCAATTCTCGAGGTGTGGGACCTTGCGGAGAGGACCCATGTCCCAGTGCACAGCACCACTCTGGAAGGCATCCAGAGCAGTCTGTCGTTTGCGAACTGCCCTGCAGCCCTGATTGCGTGCCGCTGCGTGCCACCCTGTCCAGACACAGCAAGGTTTGGGAATGCTGCCGTATGCTGCAGCACTGGCTCATGACGCATGTCTGATGTGGTGAGCTTACATATTCCACGTGTACTGCTGAAAGCATGCTATGGGGCCAGTGGCCGATGACCAGTGTTTATTGGGGATGGTGTGTCATTGAAAATTTGGATAGCTGCCCTCATGCATGCAGTTAATTTCGTTCATCACGCAGTGTCACAGCGTGATGCGAACAGCTGACAAACATCTCAATCACGCCTCCAGCGTTGATGCTGCATGCCGTGGCACTGTCGGGCAGTGTCCTGGCATCTTGGGATCATGAAGCACTATGCGAGCTGACTCCCGAAGGTGTCGCGGCTGCATCATGGTATGATTTGGTATGATGGTAGGAGGCCAGACAAGGATATTGTAAATGCTGGACGGAGGAGAACACCTGGACGAGGCTATCAAAAAACAGTTGCAGCCACTGAATCTTGGCTGCTGATGTCCCCAAATGGCCGGTCATGTCACGTTTAATCTCTTCTCAAGCTGCATCTGAGTTTGGCAGCTTTGGCTTCGGACTGAGGGTTGGCGCGTCGCCTTTCCAGCAGCGCCTCTACCTTCGTGGCGAGGAGGCCGGGAGGTAAAGGCTGCACTGCTTTGCATTTCAGCACTTCGCACTTAGGATGCAGCTATGGCAGGTTCTTGATGTCGCACGAACCTCCTCGAACCCACCGCCAGAGGAGGCCTGTCGAGTGCTACTAGAAAGCACAGGTGATAGGGCGAACTGCTGAAAGCGCATGCCAGGAGCTACAGGTGGTTGTTTTGCCACTGAGATACGATGCCGCTGCGGACCTTCGTCTGCAGTCCGCTGCAGGTGCGGCGCAGCTGGGGAGTCTCCAGCGGCAGTGCGACGTGAGAGTCGTTTGCCTGGAGGTGACCTTGCAAAGATCAAGCAGTTACTGCGCGAGCCCCAAGCTCCGGATCCTTTGGCGCGGCTTGGCTGGCAGAAGACGACGCCTGCCTTTCCGCAAGTCCTTGCTTTGAGGCCGTGTGAATTCACGCCGCTACAGCTCGCCTCGCGCTATGGCCACTTGGAGGTGAAGTACAATGAAATGAATTCAGTCAGGGGCTGTCATGTGAAGCTCAGTGTGGGTGATCCCGCTTCCGCCCGGGCAGGTGGTTCGAGCACTTCTGGCCGCGGGCGCCGACAAAGATCGACAAGGAATCTCCTTAAAAGGTCGGTATCCATCCAAGCAGCACAGTTTGGGCCTTCCAGGTGGTCCGGGTGGTCCTTCTCTTTTCCACTTGCCTGCCCACCGCAGCATCGTGTGCATGTCTTCGGTGCGGTTACCTCTTCTTGAGTTGTGCGGTGTGTTGGCTATGTTGCTACTGAAGACAGACCAGGTGTTGTAAAGGCGTCTCTCATACCTGCGGCTTGTGGCAAGTGAAGGGATGTGAGCGCGCCAGCTTGTGTCTTCGAGGACTGGCCGAAAGCACACCCTTGTTGGAGGCGGTCGACCACCAGCACCTGCACGTTGCTGGCCTAATGTTCCGCCTGCCTTGTGGGGATAGTGCAAGCTACTACAGACCTTTTCAGGCCCTGCAGAAACCCCGGGGAAGCAAAGAGCACGTTTCAAGGAGAGCGCACGCACCGGTGCTCAGGTGGCTCGTCACTTGGTTCGCCTTCGTGCGGACATCGGCAAGGCCGGCCTCGGCGGAACGACGCCCTTGCTTGTTGCCGTCGAGCGAGGCGATCTGAAGGCAGCAAAGCTCTTGGTCGAGAGCGGGGCTGACAAAGAGCAGCCAGATGCAAGTGGCTTGGCACCACTGCATGCTGCCTGTGGACACCTGGATATGGTCAAGTTCTTGCTTGGCATGAGGGCGAATCAGAACGTGCAGGACACGAATGGAAAGACGCCCCTGCGCATCGCTGCTGGAATTGGCCATGCAGACGTGGTGGAGTGCCTTGTGCTGTCCGGTGCTGACAAGGACATGCCTGACGCTCTGCTAGTTTCGCCGCTGTGGGCGGCAGCCCGCAACGGCAGAAGCGATGTAGTCCAACACCTGCTTGATGCCGGTGCACAAGTCAACCAGGCAGATATCGATGGTGAGACGCCGTTGAGGGCCGCAGCTGAGCACGGTCACCTTGAGGTAGTTCTGCGTCTGCTAAGAGGACATGCGGATGTAAACAAACAGGACATTGATGGGAGAACACCGTTGCTGGCTGCAGCTCATGCCGGAAAGTTGGAGGTGGTCGAGATTCTTCTCCAATGGCATGCCATCGTCGATTGTATTGATTCAGAAGGTCAGACGCCCTTGCTGGCGGCTTCCGAGCATGGCTTCGTGGATGCTTGTCGCAGTCTGCTGGACAGGCATGCTGATGTAAATCATTGTCGGGCTGATGGCACGACGTCTGCCAAGCTGGCTGCACAGCGGGGCGAATTGGAGGTCCTGCGGCTCCTTCATTTCGCAGGCGCCTTGAATGCACCGCCTGTCTCGTGCGTGGTCTGTAATGCTTCTGAGCCTGGCAGAGGTGCTCTGGTGGACCACTCGGACCACGAGGGCGTCACAGCGCTGTGGGCTGCTGCCAGCAGTGGCAAGCTCGAAGCGACTTGACCGCGTGCACCTGCAACTTGTGATGTCACTGTGAGCTGCAGAGCAGCTTCGGGCTGGAGGTCGTGCAGTACTTGCTGGAACAGCGTGCTGATGTAGCCAAAGTGTGCAGAGGTGCCACTGCCAAAGCTGAAGTGGCTGCGAGTTCAGCTTCGCTGACTGCCCTTGCACAGTATTTGCTGTGCTGCGATTTGTCTGTAGAGGCGGGCAGAGCTGCCTGCAAGCCGCCTCCCAGCGCTGCCATTCGGAGGCGGTGGCGGTGAATGCCACATGTGGACGTCCTTTTTTGCTTTTTCGTAGGCTGCCACATTTGGTCTGCATCCTGAGTCAGGTGGTTTCGCTCCTGACACCCTTGGACCACCAGAGCAAGCGCCGCAAAGTTGGCGAGTAGCGAAGAAACCGCGTGAATGGGTTTGCACCGACGGGCCTGCTGCTTCACTAAGTGAACGCCCTCGTATCACCCATGAAATGATGCGACGTGTGGAAAAGATAATTCATCAATAATTTTGCACGTGCGTGCTGTATCGTGCTATTGCAAAGAGGAAGTCTCTGGGCCCATGCATGTGCATTCTCCATGGCAGATGGTGGCCCTCCGCGTCCTCCCTCGGCTGTGCCAAGCTGCTGCGAGATCTTCGTGAGCTTGGGCCCCGTATGCTCAGACTGTGACTGGACTTCAGAAGGTTTTGGGAAACTTTGTGGCCAATCAGCCCTTTCCCAGTCAGAACCTGAATTGTGCTTGCAGCGAGGCGCAGATGGTCGACCTGTGGTTTCGATGGGAAGCCGCGGCCTTGCAGAAACACCTAGCTGGAGATTCAAACTAACGGTGCGGAGTGTGAGAACGTCATGCAAGCATCTGTGCGCCGCGATGTGTCAAGAGAGAGCGCTCTCTCGGTTCAGAAACTCTGCATCCATTCTGGCCGTGCGAGAGTATCTTGCAGTTCTGTTGGAAGGTAAGCCCTGGAAGCCTGCCACGATGTTCGAGCCCTCTCTTTAGAGCCATGGCCCTTACGCTGTCCATCGGACTTCTCAGTGGCCGAACTACCCAGGAAGGGCCTCGGAACTGCAATATCCTTGTCAAAATGCTATCATGTTCAGATTGATGTCGCGTCCGTCTGACATGTGGTAGGTTTCTGTGGACGCGGATGTCTCGGGCGCCGAGCTGCAGCGTCGAGCAGAGGTGGGCATTGTTCAAGCTCGTGTAAGGTCCAGTCGCATAGGCAGTCTTCCTTGGCTACAGACAGGCCGCACTGCGGACGGAGTTGGCCGGCTTGGCGACTTCGCTTGAGTTTGCATTGTTTGAGTGTCTGGTTTCAGTCCCCATAGCTCGTGCATTCCCCGGCATGCTTGTCCCAGGTCACTGCTGCAGGAAGCACCCTGCTGCTTGGAGCAAAGAGGGACTTGCTTGTGTTCAGCTCTCTGAGAGTCTCAGGACCGGGTCTGAGACGCTCAGACACGCAGGTATCCGTGATGGCGATGCGCTCAGTGCAGTCGCAGGACCGTTTGCAGAGAGAAGACGTTCTTCACATATTCATGGCTTCGCGGCCGGCAGGAAATGCCCCTGACAGCGTGCCCAGTGCGAGATTCATGTCGGCCTTTGTTTCGGGCTTAGCCCAAGAAGTTCCGTGTCCCTTCTGATTGCTGCAGCATCTGCGCAGACACTTCTATGATAGCTCAGGCTCTGATTCGTGGCGATGGAAGCGTGGCTGCTTGGGGCGACAGAGCATGCGGAGGCTTGCTGTAGTCCTGACACGAGCTCAGCGTGAGCGTTCGGCCACTTTGCAGGTGACTGCAGCCCTGTCATAGATGAACTCTTCGCCGTGACACAGATCCAGGCAGGGCATTGGCTTTGGACTCCACACGCTTCCAGCTCCGGCGGTTACGCCAGACCTCGTCCTCTGCCTTTGCAGCCTTGCGCCGCGATGGTGGGGTGGTGTCCTGGGGTAATCCGAGGACCGATGCAGCCGTTTTGGACTTGGGTTTGGTGCGGTTCAGGGTGGGTTCCCCCTGTAGCTTCTTTCAGTATCCTTCTCTGCAGTTCCCTGAATTTGATCGACGCCATGGCCAGGCTTGTCTCCGAGCAAACAATGGCAAACAAACCCTTCTTCTTGCTCAGGGCAGTGTCAGCGGAGGAGCAAAAAACGAAGTTCACTTCTCTCGCTTCCCGCGAGAAGAACATCTTGATGCACTAGTCAACTGGATTCAGGCCTTTTCCAGTGTCTTTTCTTGTGATGGGCTTTGCTGCAAGGGTCTTCCTCCTGCTACTGGAGACGAAACTTCGCCACGTGCTCGGATTCTCCGCGCTATGCTCGCTCCATCTGCTGCTCTGCTCAGATCCGATCTTGCGCAACACTCTTTCCAAGATGAAATGTTGCCTGCGCGGAAAGGCCCTTGCTGCACTTGAGTTGCCTGTTCCTCGACTTTCCTTTCTATGCAGCTGGATCACCTGGCCCATGGAGTCGCAAAACGGAGTCTGCTTTCGCATTGAAAATGCGGAGGACGAAGACGCTGGCGCCTTAATTGCCGCAATCACGGGTCCGACGGACTGCATTTGCCCTCAGAACTGGCGGCCCCTTGACGCGGAGTGACATCATTTGCAATTCCCATCTGACCAAGCTCTCCAAATCTGCGCCGCCGAGCAGAAGGTGAAGTCCTCCTCTGACGCCAGCGCGTCCTCGTCGTCTTCGTCGTCGTCCAGTTCCTCCTAAAAGGATAGGACATGACGTGCGTTTTTTCCCTTGCACCTGCATGCTGTGACTTGTGGCCGTGGCCGTAGCCCGCAGTAGTAGTAGTAGTAGTAGT